TATTATTCAGCTGTGTTAAAAAGAGCAAGATGGGGCCCAGTGGGACAGCTCCGTGACTAAATCCTCATCTTAAAAGCTCCTGGGATGCCAGCTCATGTCCCAGCTGCACCACTTCCCATCCAGCTCCCTGCTTGTGGCCTGGGAAAGCAGTCGAGGATGGCCCAAAGCCTTGGGACCCTGCACCCACGTGGAAGATCCAGAAGAGCTCCTGGCTCCTGGCTTCGGACCGGCTCAGCTCTGGCCACTGCAGTCTTCTGGGGGAATGAACCAGCAGATGGAAGATTTTTCTGTCTCTCCTTCTCTCCGTACATCTGATCTGCCTTTCCAATATAAAAAATTAATAATAAATAGGTTTTAAAAAGAGCAAGATACTCCTATTATCCTCCGATGGAGGCGATTGCAGTGTTCTGATAGGTGAAGCCACGTGCAGAAGCCTGGGCCTAGCAGCTTCCATAGGTTAAACATCCGAAGGGGCAGCCCCGGAGTTGAATAGGCACAGGTGGTTCCCACAGAAAACTGATGGCCCTGCCGGGCAGCCTGGCAGCACAGGCTAGGACTTGAGAAATGGGGAACTCAGCAGTGACACGGCGGGGTGTGAACCCCGAGAACTAGAGGAGCCCCGGTGGGAGGGAACAGCCCTGGCCTGAAGTCACAGAAGTGGGGTTCTGGAAAACACAGCAGCCAGGAAGGTTGTGTGTTAGGGGGTGGGGTGTTGTTCAAAGCAGCCAAGAGAAGCCAGGCATAGGATGCCGTGCTAGGTGCTTCTGAAGGGTGGGGGGAAAGACTGAACTTTCAACACTGAGGGGAGGGGTGTGCTCGCGTGCAGATGTGCTGTCCTAACAGCTGTGCAAATCTCTGCCGCTCTGAAGCAAGTGAACAGCAGGTGGCACAGCCCGGCCATTGGCACTCACACCTGGAGAGTAGGGGGCGTCCCCAAACTGCCCAGTCCCCACCAAGATGACCCAGGCCACGACTCCTGTGAACCAGAGGGGGCCTCTCTCTGCTCTGTGGCTTTGTCCTGTTCAGAGACTCAGCACCGCACAGGCCTGGCTTGAGCAGGTTCTGCTTCTTACTATCTGTGTGAGCCTGGACAAATCCCCTGCACAGACAGTCCCCAGGGTGCTGGTCACAGTAGCTCATCTGGCTCCCCGCCCCCGGGGGGAGGGGGTGGAGCAGGCTGGCTCCAAGATGTCCCCGAGGTGGAGATGCGTGTCCAGGCTCAGCTCGCTGGCTGCAGGAGGTCACGCGGTGACACCGGTGCGGTGCCCCGGGCAGAGGCCCAGCACCAGCACCGTGGCCTTATCTCGGTCGGGGAGACCCAGACCTGGCAGTGACTCAGACCCAAGGGAGGCCCGGAGCTCCAGGGGATTCCCCCAGGCTGGGGCGCTACGGGCTGTCATTACGCCCTCTGATAGAAAAGGGTCCTTGTTCCTGGAGGGAGGCCTATCTTGCCGGTACCCTCCCTAGGGGGCTGCAGGGCATCCTTACCCCCCCCCTCCCCCCCCCCCCCCCGCCGCCCATCCCCTCCCACCCGCACCTGCGCTGCAGCGGCCTCTGGAGCAGCTCCTCCCCAGGCCCCGTCTTCGCCGTGCCCTCTCCAAAGCGCAAAGAAGTCTGTTGGGACAGGAGGGAGAAAACTTGCGCCGTCCAGGGTAAGTTCCAGGATCCCCCGGAAGCGCCGCGGTACACAGGGTCCAGCCCCCAGCAGGGCGCGGCCGTGGCCAGACAGGGTGCGGGTTCAGTGACGCCTACTGTGGGCGAGGCGCACCCGCTCTGCCCTCTCCAAGTTGGGGAGCTACGTGGTCTGCAGAGCGCTTCACGCCCCGAGTTTCATGGGAGCGTTTGCCAACAGTCCAGCCCATGGCCACGGATGCCCTTAGATCACGCAGGCGGAAACCCGGGCCCAGACGAGCTGCGTGTGGCTGCAGCTGCAGAAGTGGCCCCGGGACGGCGCGGTGGGACTAGAACCCAGAACCCCCGCGGCGGGGGCGCGTCCCGGCTCCTCCCCCGACCCTCCCTCCTGCCCGCGGTCCCCAGGTGCTGACTCCGGCGGTGGCGGCGCCTGGACGAGACTGCCCCGTCGGCTCCCGCCGCGCTCGCCCGTGCTGCGGGCCTCGGGGACGCGGCGTCCCGGCCCCGCGGTGGCCGCGCCGCTGCCGGTAAGTGCGGGGCGGACGCGGGAGCCCGGGGTCACTGTGTACTTGCCGGCGACGGCGTGGATCGGGCTGGGTCTAGGGTAGGGGCGATCCCGGCTCCCCGCACTCACTGTTCCTCTGTTGCACCCGGATTCCGGGTGGAGTGGGGGGTTCTAGGCTGGCTCCCAGATTCTGCATCCTGCTATCGGACCGTGTACCCGCACTCCCGCCCCCGCTCCGGACCCGAGCCCATGCGCTCCCAAACTGCCTGAAACGGACTGAAACTCAGGAAGGAGTTGGGGGTAGGAGTTGGAGTTCTAACTTTGCAGCGGCGGCAGGGGGCAAGGCTTTGGGAGTCCTAGGTAAACGCTGGGTGCATCGGATCCAGGAGCGGTGGTGCGGCTCTGGGGGGCGGCAAGGCGGATCGGAACCGGCCTGCCAGCCCTGGCCGGGGAGGGAAATTCTTGGTGGGTGAATCGCTCCCTTGGGTGTGTCGGCTGTTTGGGCAGACCACACGGGGAGGCTGGGAAGCCAAGGGGTTGAGCGATTTAGGGAGGCCGCTCGCCAGAGCTCTCTGCTCCCCAGCCCACACCCGGGGTTCCAACCTCCACTCTGGTTTTCCTGGAACCGTTCCCTAGGTAGGGCTGGGGAGGGAGGAGACTTGTGACACTTTAAAAAAAAAAAAAAAAAGATTGATTTGTTTTTATTGGTAAGGCAGAATTGTGGAGTTAGAGAGACTCCATTCACTGGTTGAACCCGTAAATGGCCGCTACAGCAGATGGGCCGGCCCAAAGCAGGAGCTTTTTCTGAGTCTCTCTTTTGGGTGCAGGGTCCCAAGGACTTGGGCCATGCTCCACTGCTTTCCCAGGCTATAAGCAGGGAGCTGGAAGGGAACTAGAGCAGCCTGGATCAGAATTGGCGCCCACAAGGGATGACGGGACCACAGGCAGAGTTTTAACATGCAACTCCATGACACCAATCCCAGAACTGTGACTTTGGAAACTACTCAGCAAGTCTTTCCCTGTAGAGATAAGGAACAGGATGGACAACTCCGGGAATTTTTGGAAGCCACCCTAAGTGGCAGAGCTGAGATTCGGAGGCAAGCACAAGGCAGAGTTCAGTTTGTATCATTTTCTCCAGCCATCCCCTCCTGTCCCAGCCTGGGATCTACAAAGGAGAGGCCTGGGGGGAACTGAGAAAAAATCCCAGTCTTCTGCCTGTCCTTCCCTCCCCCCAGCAGTCCTGTGCAAGCTGCACCCTGGGGCACCTGCCCACCCCACCCTACTCCCTTCAAGCTACCACTCCCAGAATTCAGCCTCCATTCTTGAAACCCCTGCCACGTGCCCAAGCCCCAGGGCACTCAACGGTGAAGCAGGGAGGGACAGGTGAGATTACAGCAGTCACCAGCGCTGGGAGGGAGACAGGTGCAAGGGGAGCTGGGAGGCCAGAGGAGGCCACATGGGAACTTCAGCCATGGATCTCTGTAGGGAACACTTGCTCAGCAGGAAGGATGGTCGCCAAGGGTCTGGGGGTCTGGGGGTGGGGGGAGTTGGGCAGAGAAGAGTGAAGCAGCAGAGAGAGGAGAGAAGCCCGTGACATGGTGACGATGTAGGTCCTAGGGTCGTAGGGGAAGGTGGGGAGGTGCTGGTGGCAGTGGGCTCTGGCAGCAAGCGTCATGCAGCTCGAAGGCCCACGGAGGCTCTCATGCATGCCTACACCCAATGCAACAAGGTCCTGTCCAGGCAGGACACCCAGCACACCCACTGAGTCACCCCAGTTCAGGGCAGGATCACCGAGCAAGCCATGTGTTCCTCACCAGCATGGCCGGGGACTGGGTAGAAGTGGGGAGCAGGGGTGTGACTCGGGCTGCCCCCATGTGCACCCACAGAGGTATACAGTCTGCAGAAAGCCCCAGCAGCTGTTGTCCCCACTCCCAGCAGCCAGCTCATAACCCCCCTTCCATTCCAGCACCACTTCTGTGAACTGGTCGCCTCCACCTTCACCACTGGGCTCTGAGACCCAGGACAGCACATTTGTCCTGTGTAGCCTCAGTCTCCCCTTTGTAGGAACTTCACTGGATGGGAGTGAGGCGTCTGCCAGGCCACAGTGCCTAGAACCGTGGGCCCTTTCAGCTCCTGCAGCAGGGCAGGGGAGGGAGTTCCCTGACCCATTTTAGGGAGCCCCAACCACATCTTCCGGGATGAGCTATCATCATGTCCCTGGACAGTGGGCTCCTTCATCTGCACTCAGAGGACACAGCGTGGCATGATGGATGCCCTGAGCAAAACAAGGGGGTCAGTGGTGGGGAGGGGGGCTCCACCTCCTGGGACCAGGCACAGGATGCTGGGACACCCTGCGTAGCCCGGTGCAGATGCTCAACAAACAGTAGCTGGCATGATCAGTGAGTGATCCCTCCCGCCCTGCAACTTCGCACAGGCTCCCTAACCTCACTGTGCTCATTTCCTGTGGGCAGCATGGACGGACAGCAGCTGGACCCCTCAGGGTCGGGGGGATGGCTGAACAAGCTCAGTTACATCAGGGCTCACACGGGTGGGCAGTGGGGCAGTGGCTAAGGTGCTGCCTGGCGTGTTCTGCTCAGTTCCAGCTCCGTGCTAATGCACGCCATGCCAGTGGTCATGATGGCTCCCTGCCCCAGGCCAGGCTCCGGGTATCAGCCTGGCAGCCGTTACCCGACATTTTGGGGAATGAACCACTAGATCTCTCTCTCCTCCTCTGTCTCTCTGCCATTTAAATGAATAAATCCATGTAGAGTTGTAAAAGGACTGAGGACAGTGCCTGGCATGCTGCTTCTCCCCGTTCTCCCCAGGTGGGCACGGCCCCCGGAACTCCCCTCCGTGAGGCGCCATGGATTGGAAGACACTGCAAGCCCTGCTGAGCGGCGTCAACAAGTACTCGACGGCCTTCGGGCGCATCTGGCTGTCGGTGGTGTTCGTCTTCCGCGTGCTGGTGTACGTGGTGGCGGCCGAACGCGTGTGGGGCGACGAGCAGAAGGACTTCGACTGTAACACCAAGCAGCCGGGCTGCACCAACGTCTGCTACGACGAGTTCTTCCCCATCTCCAACATCCGCCTCTGGGCGCTGCAGCTCATCTTCGTCACGTGCCCCTCGCTGCTTGTGATCCTGCACGTGGCCTACCGCGAGGAGCGCGAGCGGCGGCATCGGCAGAAGCACGGCGACCAGTGCGCCAAGCTGTACAACGACACGGGCAAGAAGCACGGCGGCCTGTGGTGGACCTACCTGCTCAGCCTCGTCTTCAAGCTCATCATCGAGTTCCTCTTCCTGTACGTGCTGCACACGCTGTGGCACGGCTTCGGCATGCCGCGCCTGGTGCAGTGCGCCAACGTGGCCCCCTGCCCCAACGTGGTGGACTGCTACATCGCCCGGCCCACCGAGAAGAAGGTCTTCACCTACTTCATGGTGGGCGCCTCGGCCGTGTGCATCGTGCTCACCATCTGTGAGATCTGCTACCTCATCTTCCACAGGATCGTCAAGGGCCTGCGGAGGAGCCGGCCCCCCAAGGCCAACGGCGCCCCGCCTTCCACCAGGCGGGCCTCCACCTGCCGCTGCCACCACAAGCTGCTGGAAGCGGGGGATCTGGAGCCCGATGCCGGCGATGCTAAGCTCCAGGCTTCGGCACCCAAGCTGAGTCCCATCTGACCTTCTCACCCACTCCCACCCTCGGCCCTCCCCGGGGCTGGGGGAAGTGGATCCCAGAGGGACGTGGCCAGGGGAGGGGTGGTAGTGGTGCTGCAGGGTGGTGCTCCTGTGGGTGCTGGCTTTCTTCAAATGTGCCGTGCTCTTCAGCACACCTGCAACAGGCATACATACTAACTACATGCCACATGCCTTCCTTACATACAAGCTGGGGGCGGGGGGTGTAGGGGGAGGATGCTGTCAGGCCCTCCCAGCAGAGTGTTCGCGCTAACCTCGGGTGGGGCACCCAGGCCAGGGTTCCCCTAAGGAGAAGGGGAACTGGAGACAGATGGGGACGCTGGGTGACCAACAAAGGGAATCTTCACTCTGGCCTGGGGCCGCCCAGATTCCCGAGGTGGGAGGGAGGTCGTCCTCCAGCAGCGGCTCTGCCTGAGTGCTCCCCCTCCCCGCCCCATCCCATTCCTGGGCAGCCGCTTCCTTTTGGGAAAGCCTCACACCCGTGCCCACCTGCTCCCCTCCTCTCCAGCCGGGTGCCGCCAGGTAGAGGCGCTGCGGACCAGCGCCAGAAAGTTTGCTTTCCTTCAATAAACGCTGTGTTTTTTTTTTTTAAAACTGTCTCTGCCCTCCCTGCTCTCGCCACACTCCCGCTCACGCTACCCTGGGGGGCAGGGAAGGGAGCTATCTCCGAGGCCCAAAAGCTGCAAATTCAGGGGTGAAGTGAGGCCAGGGCTGGGGAGCTGGGCCAGAGCCCTGGTGGGATTCCAGACATGGTCAGCAGAGGGCGCTGCGCTCCCGCCTTGTGTTTCCACTCGGCCCATCAGGGTGGGCCGTTACAGGCCGACCACACCCTGGCACCCTGCTCCTATCACAGCCTCCGCCCTGTGTACACACAATCTCTGCTATTCACTCTCGCCAAAGGCCACGTGGCTGCTCTAAAGCATGCAGTGTCAGCCTCACCCAGCATTTCATTCACATATAAAAATTCAGAGCATTTTTCTCCACCCCAGCCCCCTGGCCAGAGGCTCTGGTTGCCCAGAGAGGTGGGACCCGGGGTGATGGGGGCAGGGGAGAGCCAAGGAGAGCTCAGGTGGCCATGTGGACTGAGTGGACAGAGGCTCACCTTCGGCTCATGTTGGGGGAGGTGGGTTAAGGGGCTCAGGACTGAATCGCAGTGGACTACTACAAAAAGGACAGGAGCCTCACACCACGCCTTGGACACCCTTTCAGGTCCTCGGCCGCACCATCAATATGACGGGAATTGCATTCTTCGGGGTCCCTGTAGCAAACAACTTCCTAGAGAGATTATTTCCAAAGATTAACTGCACAGCAGCCTAGCGGCTAAAGTCCTCGCCTTGCACATGCCGGGATCCCATATGGGCACCAGTTCTAATCCTGGCAGCCCCACTTCCCATCCAGCTCCCTGCCTGTGGCCTGGGAAAGCAGTCAAGGACAGCCCAAGGTCTTGGGACCCTGCACCTGCGTGGGAAACCCAGAAGAGGTTCCAAGCTCCTAGCTTCAGGTTGGTGCAGCTCTGACCATTGCGGTCACTTGGGGAGTGAATCATTGGACAGAAGAGCTTCTTCTCTGTCTCCTCCTCTCTGTATACCTGACTTCGCAATACAAATAAAATAAATCTTTAAAAAAATAAATCACTGGAGGCACCACCATGCCCCGGGGTCGGGGCTATCAGGCTGACAGTGGATGGGCATGATACGATACATCAGGTAAGTTTCCTCCCACCCCTCGCCAACTTCACCTTCATCAGCAGGTGGATCCCACAGACCCAACCCATTCTGAAGTCCAAGGTCGAGGGAGCTGGCAGAGTGCAGAGCCAGCAGGGTGGGGCAGGGCAAAGGCAATGCATGCAGCCCGCACTCCTAGGACTACTGCAGAATCAAAGGCGCCAGGATCAGCACAACACTGGCTGGGCAGCCAGGAGCCAAGCCCGTGTAGGCAAGTGTCCGTCAGATGCCCAGGCCAGGACAGAGGTCAGCCCAGCTGCAAGTGACAAAGGTCTCAGAGTGGGTGACCTCCACCGACTTGCTTGCCACCATATATTCCAGCATCTTCTAGCCGGTTCTGGCTGCCTGGCCAAGGGCACCTTGGAAGTCATGGAAACCAGAAAACACCACTGGTTCTCCCGCCCTGGGCTTCCTGTCCCGTCCCTGCCACTCCAGGCTGCAAGCCAGGACCGCAGAGGAGGCCGGGATGGTGCCGCCCGGCAGTGCAGCCGTGGGGGTGTCCCCACAAGGTGGCGCTCGCCTCCCCTTCGCAGCTGTGGATGCCTCCAAACTTCTTTTATTTTTTTTTTTAAGATTTATTTTATTTTTTTGGAAAATCAGATATACAGAAAGGAGCAAAGACAGAGAAGATGATCTTCCGTCCAATGATTCACTCCCCAAGTGGTAACAGCAGCTAAAGCTGCACTGATCTGAAGCCAGGAGCTCTTCCAGGTCTCCCACGTAGGTGCAGGGTCCCAAGGCTTTGGACCATCCTCCACTGCTTTCCCAGGCCACAAGCAGGGAGCTGGATGGGAAGCGGGGCTGCCAGGATTAGAACTGGTGCCCATATGGGATCCCAGCACATGCAAGGCAAGGACTTTAGCTGCTAGGCTGCTGTGCTGGGCCCTAGGCTTCCTTCTTGGCAGGTGCATTTTACAGAGGGCCTGCAAGTCGCCAGGCAGCAGGGGGCCATATTGTATTCATTCCTCCTGGTGCAAGCCCACTGCTCGCACATGTTCCCCAGAATTTACTTCTTGAAATCCTGTCCCCCAGGGGATGGTATTAGATGAGACCTTTGGGGAGCTAGCAGGACATGGAGGGGGAGCTCTCCTGCTGGTTCACTTCTCCCATGCCTGCAACAGCCAGGGCTGGGGTAGCAGGAGCCGGGAGCTCGGAAGTGCACCTGGGTCTCTCATGCAGGTGCCAGGGGCCCACGCTCCGGGCCATCCTCCAGCTGCACTCACAGGGAGCTGGATGGGAAGCAAAGCCGGCAGACTCGAAGGGACACTTCAGCATGGGATGCTAAAGTCAGCCAGGATACCTCAACATCAGCCCATGGGCAACCATCTTGGATGAATGGTCTCTGTCAGCAGTGAAAGGAAGTAGCAAGCTGTTGGTCCGTCTGTATCTGATGGCAGAGTCCCTGGGTTCTAATCCCAGCTCCTGCTCCAGACTCCAGCCACCACCTTCTGCAGACCCTGGAAGATGAAGGTGATGACCCATGCGACTGGGTTCCTGCTGCCCACATGGACGGGCTGCCTCCGTTCTAGGCATCAGGATGGGGCTCCGACTGTATGTGTATGAGAGAGAAGGTTCATCTCTCAAAAATAAGATGCAGGACAATCTTTCTTTCATCTGAAAACACAATCAAAAGCTGGCCATCTGTCCAGCAGGAAGACGGGCCCTCCCCCAGAACCTGACCATTCTGATAACCTGACCTTGGGCTCCCAGCCCTCGCCCCACCGACCGACCGTGAGCCATCAGTCTAGGGTCACCCAGCCTCTGGCGTTCTGGCACATCAGCTGAGTCTGAGACACTCTGCCATCGGTCACCCTGGCTGCTGCTCCCATCTCGGCTTCCTGCCCCTTTCTGTGGGACACGGGGCCTAGAGAGGAGGTGAGCATGTGGAGAAGGGGTGGTATAAGGAAGTTTCACCCGAGGAGGGCAGAGGGCAGGAGGCAGGAGCAAGCAGGACACCTGTGGCCAGGAGCTGTGACACAGATTCAGGGCAGATGGCAGGAACGGCTGGGCTACCCAGGAGGAGCCTTGGCTGCCTGGACAACAGCAATAGCAGGGCCAATGGTGGAACAGGGGCACTCCCGCAGTGCAGTCAGTCCCTTGTCACAGTGGATGTGTGTTGGCTACTCCCCACATACAGCAGCCGTGGGGGTCCCATCACTCCTGTGCGTAAGAATGGCATCCTTGGGTCCTTCGCGGTGGCCTAGCCTTGAATGCACCAGGCGCTGGTTCTAGTCCTGGCAACTCCACTTCCCTTCCAGCTCCCTTCTTGTGGCCTGGGAAAGCAGTCGAGGACGGCCCAAAGCCTTGGGACCCTGTACCCATGTGGGAGACCCAGAGGAAGTTCCTGGTTCCTGGCTTCGGATCGGCGCAGCACTGGCTGCTTGGGGAGTGAATCATTGGACGGAAGATCTTCTGTCTCTCCTCCTCTGTCTCTCCTCCTCTCTGTATATGTGCCTTTCCAGTAAAAATAAATAAATCTTAAAAAAAAGAGAGAGAGAGAGAATGGCATCCTCTACAGGCCTAGGAGATCTGCCCCAGCCCACACCCCACCGAGCCTCTCCGGGCCCCTCCCTGCTCCTTGCTCTCTACTCCAGCCACGCGGAGCTCCTGCACCCTCCTGCCTCTTGCTCTACACTGCAGCTTCTCTCTTCCCGCACAGAGTCCCAGGGCTCCCTCCCCAGCCTCCTTCAGGGCTCCGCCAAGCACCACCTGCTCAGCCAGAACTTCTCTTACGCAGCCTCTCAGTTCCTGCTTGACTTTCCCACAGCTTTGCTGACTATCTAGCACATTTGAATTCGCCTGCCTTCCCCGAGGGCAGGGACCCTGTGGGATGCTGACCTTGGCCCTGAGGGGGATCTTCAGTACTGGGAAGGATGCCTGAGTACCCAGCAGGTGCTCAGTAAATGTGTGCTGAAGGAATACACAGGGTGGTACCCTGCTGGGTCCCACTCATGCAGGCCAGACTAATGGGGAAGAGATAAAGACAAGCAAACTGCTGGGATTAGGGGCTGAGGTGGGGAAGGGGCAGACAGTTTCTGATTTGAGATCCATTGTTTGGGACTGGCACATAAAACCAGTGTCTGGAATACCTACATCCCATAGGGGCGCCAGTTCGAGACCCAGCTGTTCCACTTCCCATCCAGCTTTCTTGCTAATGACCTGGGAAAGCAATGGAGGGATGTCTGAAAACCTTGGGACTCTGCACCTGTGAGGGAGATCCGGACGAAGCTCCTGGCTCCTGGTTTTGGATCAGCTCAGCCCTGGCCAGTGCAGTCACTCAGGGAGTGAATCAGCAGATGAAAGATCTTTCTGTCTCTCCCTCTTTCTGTAAATGCCCTTGTAATAAAAATAAATAAATCTTTAAAAATGTTTATCTATGGGCCTGGCGCGGTGGCGCAGTGGTTAAGGTCCTCGCCTTGCACGCCCGGGATCCCATATGGGCACTGGTTCTAATCCCGGCAGCCCCGCTTCCCTTCCAGCTCCCTGCCTGTGGCCCAGGAAAGCAGTCGAGGACAGCCCAAAGCTTTGGGACCCTGCACCCGCGTGGGAGACCCGGAAGAGGCTCCTGGCTTCAGATCGGCATAGCATCGGCCGTTGCGCTCACTTAGGGAGTGAATCATTGGATGGAAGATCTTCCTCTCTGTCTCTCCTTTCTGTATATCCGCCTTTCCAATAAAAAAGTAATAAAAATTAAAAAAAATGTTTATCTACTTATTTTCATTTGAAAGGCAGAGTTAGAGGAAGAGAGATAGAGATCTTTCATCAGCCACTAACCAAAGCTAGGAGTTTCGTCCGGGACTTCGATGTGGTGCAAAGTCTCAAAGCTCTGAGCCATCCTCTGATGCTTTTGCAGCACATCAGCAAGAAGCTGGATGGAAAGTGGAGCAGCTGTGTCTTCAACTGGCGCTCATATGGGACCCTGGATTCACAGGCTTAACCAGCTGTCACAGCTCCATCCCCATTCTATTTCTTAAGATAACTAAAACTTCTCTCTCTCTCTCTCTCTCTCACACATACACACTCAGACACGAATGCTGCACCGTGGGGCAGCACCTGAGCGCTGAGGGTCCAGAAACATCCGTGGAGGGCAGGACAGGAATTCCGGGAGATGACATCTAAGTTCTGAGGAGCTTGGGGGGGTCCACAGACGGAGGCAGGGGGCCCTCCAGGCTGCAGGCACAGTGTGGACGCAGGGAGGAACAGCAGGTACCGCTGCAGTGGCTGCTCTGTGTGACACACCACCGTCTCAGGGTCAGGCCATGGCCGAGGGCGGCTCTCACGGAGCTGGTGGCTGTGAAAGACCTCAGAATCCCTGCTAGTCTAAGTGACTCCAGCTTTAGTCTAGGTGACTCACTTAAATCTGAAGTTGCACAAGTGTTGAGTCACAATGACAGGACATTTCCTCAAGGCAAGGTCCCCCTCAGAGATAGCTCTATGTAAATGAGGGATTGGTAGCTGACCAATAGTATGCCGCAGAGATAAAACTTTATGCAAATGAGGAAGTGATCCTTGACTGACAATATACCTCAGAGATAAAACTTTATGTAAATGAGGGAGTGATCGTTGCAATTCTGATTGGCTGAAATATAGTTAACCAACCATAAGTGTGACTGTGTGGAATCCCCTCCTGAACCGTATAAGAACCCTGCGATTTTCTACCTCAGGGCTCCCCACCAAGAACCCCTGCGTTGGTGATGGTTGGAAGCCCAAGCTCAGACATGCCTAGCTTGAATAAACCTCCCTTGTGAACTTGCATCCAAGTCCAACTTCTGCTGGTTCATTTGGGGAAGGCGTGAGGCTGAGAGAACAGAACTGCCGTGGACTGGAGCCTGCTGCCGACCCTGCAGCTGAGCTACCACCAGACCTGCCACCAAGCTGTGAACAGAGCCGCAACACTGTCTCGGTAGCTGACGCTGCCCCAGCAGAATGCCAGCCTGGCTGCACGGCCGGCTGCTGTCTCCACCGCTGCCGCTGGGCGCCTTTGCAACAAAGGCTGAGCTGTAGGGCAGCAGGAGTCCCAGGGCTGTTACGGCATCTGGCAGTGAGTGGCACACTAGGTCCGCACAACAGTTGGAGAGCTCAGACCCTGCCCTGAACCCAGTGCGGAGCCACGGCAGGACTCAGATGCTGGGTGGAGGGGTCAGGCTAGAGGCCAACAGATCAGGTGGGAGGCCACTGAGAGGACCACCTCCTGGGCAGGTCACAGCGGTGGCCACAGAGGGCAGGCAGCGTGGGGTTCCAGGTGGGCTGGCCAGCTGGTGAGCCGCATCGACAGCTCCTTCCCCAAGGGAGGAACTGGTAGGATACTCCCACCCTGAGCCACGAGGAAGGGGTAAAAGCGGTTATTGGCAACTGTAGCATCACCTCCGCCCGCTTGCCTGCAGGCCACCTGCTCCTCCTCCCTCCTGCCCCAGTCGAAGGGAACAGAACAGCTTTTGGAGCGCTAGGCCCAGCCCCAGGAGAGCAGGCAGGCGGGAGCCCCCAGGGACCTCTGTTCTCATGCCCTTAAAGGTCAGCACTGAACATGCGCAGTTGAGGGTCCCATTCAGTCGGGGCCCGGAAGGGAAAGGCGCAGCTCCCCCAGGGGCAGCCAGTCCTGGAGACCCCGGCTCCAAACCCAGCCGACCGGCTGCTCTCCACACCCCGGCTCTGCCTCGAGCCCCCGGACCCTGATGTCCACCTGCCGGCGCCCTCGCTTGCCTCGCCCCTGCATTTCACCACCCGGCCCTAACCGACCAGGGAACAGGAGTTGAGGGTAGAGTCTCTGGGTTCTCCACCAACCTTCCCAAGAGCTCACAGCCTCCCCAGCCATTCTTCACCACACCTGGCCGACAGCCTCCTGCCGCAAACATCCCGGCCCCAGACTGTCCCGTCCAGGTACCTGTCCAGAGAACTCCCGCCCACCCACCCCGGATGTGCCCAGGCCTCGCTGGGTACAGGAGGCGGAGACCAGGGCTGGCCGGTAGGTGGGGTGGGGAATTCGAGGCGCAGGTGAGCAAGCGCCCCACGTGGACTCTCAGGGGGGAGGTGCCCAGGCACCGGGATGGTTGAAAACTCCGGAAGAATCCTGGCTGTAGGACGTTGGCACTGCACCCCACCCCCTCTCCCCTCGAAGTTCCCACGTGCTAAGGAGCCGGGCCTGGAAAGCCCCGCACACAAGTGGCAAAGGAGTGGTCCCTGCGCACCCGCGTCCCGTCTGCGCGCCTTCTGGCCATCCCTTCCCACGTCCAGCCACCAAGCAAGCTCTGGGCCCAAGAAGCTGTGCAAGGGGCCCCGCGAAGGAGAGGCCGCGGGGCCACCTCGGGCTGGAGGCGGTGCAGAGAGCCGCACCTCCCGGGCCAAGCCCGCCCTGCTCCCGTCTCTCCCCAGCCGCCGCCCTCCCCCGCGTTTCCTGCCCCCAACCCCGCCTCCGTGCTATTTAAGGCGCCCCCGGCAGTGCTGTCCGGCAGGGCTCCCACGGGCGCCGCTCCGGCATCGTCCCCACCTGCACCTGGGCCGGCCCGGCAGGCAGGCGGTGAGTGGGCGGCGGGTGGTGCCACCTTGCCCTGGGGGGAGGTCTGGCGGGGTACCAGGGCTCGCGGTTCCTACCTGCTTTCACGGAACCTTCAGTACGGTCCCAGGAGGTAGGAAGCCTGCGTTTCCCAGGGAGGCGTCACAGGTTATGCCTGACCCTAGGGCTTGGTTGCTTAAGAGGGCGGGGACTTGAACCCAGGACTGCCTCCGGAGCTTGGGCAGAGAAACAAAGTGTTTGGAGAAAAATGGCACCTGCCCCCTCCTGGTTCTCAGGGAGCTGGGAGCTGGTGGCCCGTGTCCCCGTGGAGTTGCAGATGGGGAGAGGGCTTGCAGGAGGGTGGGGGAGGGGGAGAAGAAGGCTGGGCGCAGGTGGTCCTTGTTGCTGACAGGTGGAGCTAAGATGATGGTGCTGGCCTCCCATCCTGACTGCAAATGCAAAGATGTGAGGCCAGCTGAGTGGGCAGCAATGAGGGAGACAGGGACCAGAGGTTTGGAACCCCTAAGCCTCAAGCAATGCACCTGTGCCCCCCCACCCCACAGGCAGGGGCAGGGGAAGGCAGCCTTGGGCAAAAAAAAAAAAGCATGAAGGATGTAGCCCCAATGGGTAACCTTGGGTCAGTTCCTAAAATTCTCCATTCCTAAGGAACCTGAACCCATTCCAGATATAGAACTCGGCTCGTCAGGGAGGCAACATCTGACTGGGAATGAGAGCGGACAGATACGTCATTAGACAGGGCCTCTGGGCACACCCTGCCACCACCCAGGGACCCCGCAAAGAGGGCAGTGTTGGGTCCCGATGCTCTGCCGGGTGAGCCCTGGGCCAGTCCAGTCTCTCCCTGAGCCTAGGTTTTCTCGTGGGCTGAGCGAGTATAGCTGATAGCATGGCAGGCTCCTGGCTAGAACAGGCGGGAAGGAGCAGCAGGCAGCCTGACGCACCATGTCTTCTCCCCTCTCCCCCCAGACGGTGGCCCCGGAACCATGGGTGACTGGGGCTTCCTGGAGAAGCTGCTGGACCAGGTCCAGGAGCACTCGACGGTGGTGGGCAAGATCTGGCTGACGGTGCTGTTCATTTTCCGTATCCTCATCCTGGGCCTGGCCGGGGAGTCGGTGTGGGGCGACGAGCAGTCGGACTTTGAGTGCAACACTGCCCAGCCGGGCTGTACTAATGTCTGCTACGACCAGGCCTTCCCCATCTCCCACATCCGTTACTGGGTGCTGCAGTTCCTGTTTGTCAGCACGCCCACCCTGGTCTACCTGGGCCACGTCATCTACCTGTCCCGGCGTGAGGAGCGGCTGAGGCAGAAGGAAGGGGAGCTACGGGCCCTGCCGGCCAAGGACCCCCACGTGGAGCGAGAGCTGGCGGCTGTGGAGCGTCAGATGGCCAAGATCTCTGTGGCGGAGGACGGCCGCCTGCGTATCCGCGGGGCGCTGATGGGCACCTACGTGGCCAGCGTGCTGTGCAAGAGCGTGCTGGAAGCTGGCTTCCTCTATGGCCAGTGGCGCCTCTATGGCTGGACCATGGAGCCTGTGTTTGTGTGCCAGCGTGCACCCTGCCCCTACCTCGTGGACTGCTTTGTGTCTCGCCCCACGGAGAAGACCATCTTCATCATCTTCATGCTGGTGGTTGGACTCATCTCCCTGGTGCTGAACCTTCTGGAGCTGGTGCACCTGCTGTGCCGCTGCCTCAGCCGGGAGCTGCGGGCCCGGCAGAGCCGGGGTGCCCCCCCGGCCCAGGACGCCTCCTCGGACCCTTACGCCGACCAGGTCTTCTTCTACCTCCCCATGGGCGAGGGGCCCTCGTCCCCTCCATGTCCAACCTATAACGGGCTCTCATCCAGTGAGCAGAACTGGGCTAACCTGACTACGGAGGAGAGGCTGACTTCCTCCAGGGCCCCCCTTTTCCTGGACCCACCCCCCCAGAGTGGCCGGAAATCCCCCAGTCGCCCCAGCAGCTCAGCTTCCAAGAAACAGTATGTGTAAGAGGGGAGTCAATGGGCTTAGGCTTCTGTCACCCATCCTGAGACACGCGGCTGCTTTGAGCCCTTGACGAAGGCCCCGCCACGATGACTGAGCTTGGAAAACCCAGTGCCTGCTGGCCACAGGGCCTCCCAGACTGTTGTTTTCTGGGATAATTGGGCCATCCTGGTGACCAGAGGGCACAGTGGCTTCCCCTCTAGAAGGCGGCTTTGTGGCAGGCACAGAGCAAGCTGGCTTGATGTGCCTTTGACCAGGGGTGTTATGTGAGCCCTTTGCAGAGGAACCTGCAACCAACTTACAGCTCCCTTCTCTACCAGCCCCTTCAGAATCCACCTGTGCCCAAGCCAAGGCTGATGGAGGCTGCAGGGTTGGCCAGACAGAGCCTGGGCTAGATCTGGCCCTGTCAACGGGACTGGGGGCTTGTGTCCATCACTCCTTCCTAGTTCCACTGTTTATGCTTCCAGAATAAACTGGACTTGATCACAACTAGGTGTGTATGGCCGCTGTCAAGATGTGCCTTGGGGCAGGGGCTGGGGGAGTCATTTCACCCCAGATTCCTTTTCTCACTGCTGTGTACTCTGTGCTCTCTGCAGCTCCAGGCAGCACCTGCTGAGCTCTGTGCTCAGCCTCTTTCAAAAGCCCCGGCTTCTTCTTAAAGGCCTTGGGCTGTGTCCTCTCGGCCCATCTGGTGCCCTGTTAATCCACCTGTCCATGAACTGGTGACCTTCTCTGTCGCCAGCCCCTGCCATGTGCTTGCCTATAGACATCCCAGACCCTAAACATGGCTTCTGATTCAAGTCCCCCATATGTCCCACCTCAGCCTGGGGCCCTTGGTATCAGGAAAGGAAGTATATCTCATTTGTTTTCCTAACTGCAGCCCTTTCTGGTGTGCCCGGCAGCAGGAGTGAGTCAAGGGGATGTATCACAGTCCTCCTCACCCTGTGTACCCAAAGCTCAGTGAGGGCGGACCAGGATACTACATGGATCCGGGAAGGGGTTGAATTCTGCCTTAGTGCTCACAAACTGCAACAGCAAAATGGGGACTCCAACTGTATCCTGACGGGCAGATGGGAGCTGGTGGGGGCAGGCAGGGAGAGGGCCCAAGCTATGGGCAGAGGACATGGCCTTATAAAAGCATGACAGAGGGGCATGGCCAGGGCAAGCTGAGTTACTGAGAATCTGGGGAGCATAATGAGGGGAGAGTGGGAAAGCCCAGAGCTGGCCCGGTTGCCTTCGCACATGGAAGGTGCCCAAGTTGAGTCAGGACAGCACCCAGCAGGAGCCCCCCCAGAAGCAGGTGGCTGTCCTTGCCCAGCTGGCAGGGTGAGGGCTGGACTGGGGCTGGAAGAGGAAAGGGGGTCAGCTCTGTGTGGCTGTACACACCCTGGGCACCATGGTGTCCTTGGAGGAGGCTAGCAGCTTGATTCCTCTGCCATGTATCAGGACAGGGTCCCCACAGCAGCTCCGGGGCCCTTGCCCCACTGCTGTGTACGCTCACATGCATGCCCGCCTGAGGAGGTCTGCCTCTCACACTGTGAGCCACCATTGCCCTTATTCTTTGAGTCCCTGATGCAACCCGGCATGCTCCTTGTGGTCACCCACAGCGCTCCTTTGTCTGCCCGGAGCATCCTCCCTGCACCCGCACATGCTCAGAGCCTTGGTCAGAAGGAGGAAACCAGTAAGCTTTAGGCTTAAGGGGCTGGGTTCAAATGGTGCTCCCAGCAGAAGCAACCATGTGGTCAGCAGCCCGCCTCTACCCTTCTCTGCATCTTTGTTTTCCTTAACAGATAATGTCAACTGCCTGGCAGTGACAAGAAACAACATGTGTAGCTGGGGAGGGTGTTGTGGCACTGCAGGTTAGGTTGCCACTGGCAGTACCTGCATCCCCAATCCAAGTACCTGGGTTCAAGGCCCAGCTCCTCTGCTTCCAATTCAGCTTCCTGCTGATGCGCACCGAGGGAGGTGGCAGGTTACGTGCTTGGATCCCTGCCGCCTGTGTGAGACCCAGAAGGAGATCTTGGCTCCTGGCTCTCAGAGGCATCTGGGGAGGTAAATCAGCCAACGGAAGATCAATGTGTCTTGTTCACTCCCTGCCCCGCTAGGACTTCCAAGCAAAGAAAAATAGGCAGATTTTTGTTTTATTTTGTGAAAGTATGACTGCACCTGGCTCACAATAGTCAAGCCGTGAATTTCAGCTCATGCCGGCATCGAGGTTAGTGCAGGTCCTTCCTCCTCCAGGAAGCCCTTCCTGACTTCTCTAGCTCTCACCCACTCAGTGCATGCCCATCTGTGTAAGTCTGTAAGCACCACAGGGACACACTCACAGTCCCCTATGGGCATGGGCCAACATCAGCCTCAAATGTGAAAGGAGGGATTCGTGACGCTGTGTGGAAAAAGGTTACTGACATCATCTCCGAAGAGCAGGAGCCTGCAGACTGAGGTTTTTTTCTAAGAGACGCCTCCACGGGACAGGGTGAGAGGCCAGAGGCCGCGGGTTAGAGGTTGGGCTCTCAGGGCCAGCCCCACCTACAGGCCCTGGGAGACTGCTGCTGGCTCGGATGGGTAGGAGAAGAAAGGTTGGGTAGAAGAAGTACCCTCTCTGGGCATGGGGTTGGAGCTGGGGTCAGGGCAGGGCTCAGGGACTTGACTTTCGGCAAGACTTTCAGCCTGGGCTGATGACCACATAGAGGGACGGCATGGCTTCGCCAGCGGGGGGTGGGGATGAATGGCATAAGCCCCCCCCCCCCCATGGTTAGGCATGCTGGGGTTTCCTAACACACTGGGCAACTTAAACTGGAGTTTATTCTGTCACAGATCGTGGTCTGAAGACCAGTTCCATCGGAGCTCTGTGAGGAAAAAACCTGGGCCAAGCCTTGCCCCCAGCCCCTGGCATCACCCCCAGCCCCTGGCCTCACCCCCAGCCCCTGGCATCACCCCCAGCCCCTGGCATCACCCCCAGCTCCAGCAACCTCACACACCATCCTGGCTGCCCACTGTCTCCATGTCTAAATACCCCCTCTTTGCAGGAACGCGGGTCCTGTCAGAAGAGGGATTCACCTTTGCTCGACTACTTCTGCAAAGGCCCTTTCCCCAAAGAGTGTTGCCTTCAGAGGGGCTGGGGTGGGATTTTATCATGACCTTGTGCAGCAGGGTGCATTGTCCAGCCGCCCCGCCTCACCTCCACACACCGTCGATCAGGGCCTCCACTGCAAAGGCTGTGCTGGCCCTGGGCGTGCCCACGGCTGTGGGGCCTGCAGGAGCGCAACCGGCTCAGCCCTCAAAGCTCCCTTTTACTTCTACCTCCCTGCAAACCTACACCTCACCACCATCCAAAGCAAGTGGACCAAGAAGCTGCTGCTGCTGGTGGCTGTGGGTCACAGAGCGGACCCCTACCCTCAGTCCCCCATCCCTCATGCTCACTAGCCACTGGTTCTCTTCCCGGGCCTTGGTGTCCCCCACTGTGCCATGCAAGGGTTGGCTGTTTAGGGTTGAGAAGTACTACAGGGGGTCCCTCCTCACCAGGAGGCAGCTGCAGAGGGGTATACTGTGAATCAGAACAGACGCACTGCTATTTCTAGAAAATGCGCAATTCCAGTCACTCGGGTTCAGATTGGCTTCCTGAGTAGGGAGGAGAGGTTACTGGGAGTGCACTGGGACTTTTGCAAAGCCCGAGGTCACCTGCCCTGTGACCCAGGGAGCATTTGAACATCACGGGCTGCACATAAACAAGGCAGAGAGCTGTCGGGCAGGATGACAGCAAAGCCTCTGCCCACCCTAAGGCGTGTGTGCACTGACCAGTATGAGCACCACCGGGCGGCTGCCCACACAGCCTCCTGCTCACCAGTGGGCCCTTGACTGGGTGGGGCGGGGAGCTTTATTCCCCCTTCACACCTCTCAGTGTGACCAGGGGGAGTGCAGAAGTCTCAGGGTTCTTGGGTTGTCTTCCTCCACCTGAGAGTGTCCCCAACAGCCCCCTGCATGCCCGGAGCCGCTCAGTCGCACCCACCGCACTGCAGCCACACGCAGGGCCCCATTCTCATCCCACCATTCAGCTGACTCCAATCCGTGGGACTCTCCTGCCACCGTGCACTGTCGCCATCCCCATATCATGTCCCACACTCGCCACGTGCTGGCCAGAGTCCAGACTATCCCTCCTCCTGCTCCAAAACTCCCTCCTCCGTTAATACAACTTAGGCTTCCGCTGACTTTTGCCTTTCCTTTTCATTTGCAGATTTGTTGTTGTTGTTACAAAGAGAATATGTGGTCACTATATGTAGACAATAAGGTGCTACCATCTAGGACCCACAGCTATAAATATTCAGAAGGAACTTTTCCAGCCCCTCTATACATGATTCTTAATCGAATTGGAATATACAGATACACCTACAATTTTGTGTTCTCATTTTGGGTTTTTTTGTTGTTGTTGTTTGGGTTTTTAAGATTTTATTTTTATTACAATGTCAGATATACAGAGAGGAGGAGAGACAGATCTCCCGTCTGATGATTCATTCCCCAAGTGAGCGCAACAGCCGGTGCTGTGTCAATCCGGAGCCAGGAGCCAGGAACCTCCTCCAGGTCTCCCATGCGGGTGCAGGGTCCCGAGGCCTTGGCATGACCTCGACTGCTTTCCCAGGTCACAAGCAGGGAACTGGATGGGAAGTGGAGTTGCCAGGACCAGAACCGGTGCCCATATGGGATCCCGGTGCGCCCAAGGCGAGGACCTTAGCCTCCAGGCCATGGCACCGGGCCCTCATTTTGTTTTTCACTTTGTATTCCATCATATGCCTTGGCCCATGTCGCAAAGTGACTTTGGAAATACCCACTTAATGCTGTATCTGTGGCTTTGTCACTAGCTGCTTGACCATGACCCTGACATTGGGTTTTTAGTGCCTGCCACTAGCTATCCTCTGTAATCAATTGTACTGTGATGTAGGTGCCTGTGAGTGAGTGTTTTCCAAATTCCCATTTCCCTAAAAGAAAGATATTCCTAGAAGTGACATTACTGGGTCAAAAGGTATGAAATTGTGAATTAAAAGAAATTTAGGGGCTTTTCAGGATTGTGAAAGTACTTTGTTGAAGATGATTCAGAAGCATGAGTGAAGGGACCTTGGAGTGGGAGCCCTGGTGGAGCTGCAGCGGAGGGCAGCAGGCCCGGGGGTGCCACACCACCCTGTGGAAGGGCAGAAGTTTACTCTCTGGCGAGGGTAAAGCGGCGTCTTGGGATAAGGAAGTGCCAGGCATAGCGGAGGTGAGAGTGCCCAGAGCAACAGGACAGTGAACCTACAGCCTGGCAGTGAAGACACCCACATCCCACACCAGAGACCTGGGTTCAAGTTCCAGTCCTGGCTCCCTGCCAACACAGAGCCTGGAGGCAGCAAGGATGGCTCCCTGCCCCTCAGCTGGGTGACGTGGGTTGAATTCCTGGCTCCCAGCTGCAGCCTGACCCCACCGTGGCTC